ATATAAATGTATGTTTGTTTGTTTTTTTTTTTTTTATTTATATATATATATATATATATATATATATATATATATATATATATATATATATATATATATATATATATATATATAAAAATTTAAGTTTATTGTTATGAAAAATGCACAAAAATACAAACTTTAAACCCAGTACATATTTTTCCAAAAGATAGTTTACCCTTATATGTGTGTGATATATTATTTGGGTGCAACATCAAATTTGTTTGCCCAGTGAAATTAGTTTCCCAGTGTCCAAAGAGGTCATTTCTGACACAACCCTAACCTGATTACACCAAGTAGGACATGTTTTGGATGAACATCTGTGTTAATCCTGGAACAACATACCAATCAGCCAATCAGAATTAAGAGAAAAGTTTTCAGTTTGTTTATTAGGCTGCGGTTAGGTTTATGCACTTCTACGGGATTATAATCAAACTATTATTCCCCTCTGATTTGAGGTGTAATTTACTGTTATGGTTGAGTTTACTGGTAGATAATAGGTTTGGATTACATTTTCCAACAAAAATTATGATCTAGAATTAACAGAGGATCGCATCGTACTTGACAAAATCATGACGTGCTCTGACACAAACAACATTTTTAACTGATGATTATTATTGCAAGAGCATTTAACCCCATGAATCACATACATGACTTCTTGTATTCACATAGCAAGTGCCAAAACTTGCACATCCAATCCAAAAGTGAAAGGGTTAAACTCTACTCCCCTAAAATAAACAACCAAATAAACAGACAAGTGAAAAGCTTTACATTTTAGTACCACGCCATTTAAACATTTTAAGTGTACCTTAATTAGACTGAATAATTTAGTATACAGTTTGAAAAAATACAGCGTTTGTATGAAAATATCCTGGTAATCTGACCTTCACTAGCGGTTGTTCAAACGGCTGTGATCTATACATAGCAGTAACATGTTGATATAACCCCTATACGTGTGTGTGTGTGGTGAAAACACAGGTAGGCGCACAATGCACACAGCACACATGTGGGAGTGTGAAGATGAATGTATCATTTCCCAGAAATCTGTCTCCCCATACAGGTGCAGTGTGAATCATGCGCACGTCTCATCCCAGAGACACAGTCAGAGATGACAGAGATAACACACTAACATCATCACGCCACACGAGGCTCCCAGAATCCTCCATTCTCATGCCTCCACAACCCCTCGACCCAGTTTAACATCAGCCAAACCAGCCTAGTCCATCAGTGTTTCGTAACTAAACCAAGACGTAAACAAGAGCAGATGCGACTGCTTAAGTCAGAGAGGCCAACATAGAATTATTCAGCAGAAGAGCTAAAATGAGCAGCTGACTCATGTGTCACTCTTTACACACAGCTGAGGTGTGAAACCTGCATGTTTACAGTAAGCCACAGGCCTGAAAGGCATCATGCACACTGAAATCAACAGTCTGGCATCATTTTCCATTGTTATTGTGTTAACGTCAGAGGGAAGTTGAGAATTATTTCAGTATGTTGATGTAGTACTGAAACTAAATATTATGGGGAGAAGGCTTTCTTTCTATCATTCAATCAATGCAAACTAATGGTAAGAGGGGATGGTAAGAATAATATGGCTGAAGCATCAAACTGACATCAACAGAAAAAGACATTTCAAACACAAAAGCAAATGGTCAGATTTGAAGAAGATTAACAAAACAAACATTTAGTTTGCCAGCGGATACATTTGCAGATTCATTGTTCACCTAAAGAATAACGATGTGCACTAGCAAAATAAACAAGCACCAAAAAAAACTTTATAGAAATAAAAAATGATAATAATAATAAATCATAGAACTATTTGTTGTCTTGACTTTTTGTCATTACATTTTTTACAGTGGTAATTTTTTAATTTAACAGACTTTGAGTACAAAGTGTTTATTTTGCCTATACAAAAGAAGCCCAGCATTTAGAAATTCCCCTAAACATTTCAGGACTAAATGCCCCCTGCAAACGCCCAAAAAAATATTTGACAACCATCTAGAAACCAGCTGCCTGCCAACACCCAACAACCACATGTTTTCAATCTCTGAAGTGTCTCTTTAAATGAGCCAAGTATTCAAACTGAGCTCTAAACAACCGTTGCACTTGAAGGTGTTGTAATCAGTGACGAAGTTTCCTATTGTAGTCATTTCTGCACTTCTATTTGGCAACGATAGAAGGACAGAAATTACACATTTGATCCTGAAGTGGATTTACTCCTTTTTTATGTACGATTGCTGCCACCTAGTGGTACAAAGACAATGCATGCATAACTTTGCAGCTCACTATAAAGGGGACAAAAATATTTAATGTTCATTTTCTTTTTGGCTTATCTGGGGTTTCCACAGCAGAGTGAACCTTTGTACCACTTTGTACTGTTGGGGAAACCGGAGCACTCGGAGGAAACCCACGCGAACGCAGGGAGAACATGCAAACTCCACACAGAAACACCAACTAACCCAGCCGAGGCTCGAACCTGTGACCTTGCTGTGAGGCGACAACACTACCTACTGCACTACTGCGTCACCTATTTAATATTCTTTCAAATAATTATTACACAATAATATTAATAATAATAAAATATTTGCAGAGAATGATTTTTTTGTACTATATTATTATAAATTATATATTATTTTAAAAAGTGACTGACAAAAAATATTCCCATTTGTAAGTCACTTAAAAATACATACATATATATGTATACACACACACACACACAAACAGGGCTTTACATTAACACCTGCCAAATGCGGGTAGATTTCAGCTTTGGCGGGTTAGACAGACAATCCCACTAGCCACTTTGGCTGGTTGAAAATAATTTTTAAATTGTAGTTTTCCTAAAAGCAGGGTTCGACAATATAAGGATGACCCAATATGCGTGC